AATTAAATGACTAACGGACCAACATTGTGACCCTCAACCACTTTTTATTTTGTTTTTGTTTTTACCAGCCTTACCTAAAAACACAGCTCTTGTGGGTGGCAGACCAGACCTTTGCCACCTGTGATTACCAGACAGATAAACTGCCTAAAGCTGTACTTTCTCCCAGTCTCAAGTGAACACTATCAGCCTCGGCTATATCATGCTGATACTAGTCGTGAGCATAGTGTTAATGGCTGATGTTAACATCCTAGCACGGTGACATTTAGCATGCTGGCATGCTGTTAGTTCTTTGGCATCCTATGTTATCGCAAAGTGCAGCTGAAGCTAACAGAAATTCTGTACTATTTGAGAGATAGATGTGACTGAAGTGCAAACAAATCACAGAGCACGGCCACGTTATTTATTTATTTAATGTGACTTGCATGCTTGAAGCGAGACCCTGCAGTGAATGCACGCGAGCTTAATGGATATATGAGACATTAATTGTACCAGATAATGCACTGTCTGATAATGCATTTGCCTGTGCAGAGCTGGGGCATGTTCTGAAACATCACCTACTGCATAGAAATAAACAGGCTGCTTTAAATGCATGCACTTGTTATCAAATGGAGATTTTTTATTTATTTATTTTTAAACTTTTGAGTCATTTGGGGGGCTCGCAAGCCGAGCAACACGCGTGGAGATCTCAAGTGGGATCTTCGTGGATTTGATGTGATGGTGAAATGGTGAAATGCAATTCAGTTGTGGAGTGCTGCTGTAGAGAGTCTCAAGAAATCAGGATAGTTAAATGGAATATCTAAAGATTTACAACAAGCACACGGCCCCCCTTCTCCTGTTAATCATATAATGAGTCCCTGTATAGTTATTTGTATTCAGATACTTCCACCTTGTCACATATTTTTACCACCCATTGTGCCATGAAATGAAGCCCATTTACAAATCATTCTCCTTCTGATTTGATAAATGTAACTGGCAAATGAGTGAGTCCCCTGAATGCCTTGTTTGAATAATTGAGCAGTACTCAATCAGACAGCATTAGGCAGTGGTGGCGGCCCCGCCATCTGAAATAATTACTACCCGACAACAGACTACACATGGATGCTGCCTCCGCGGGGGTTCCACGTTTGAGACCAACAGATTAGAACAACACGACCTCCACTTCATGTCTCACATGCCATCGTGTGCACCACCTACAGAAAATCCTGCAGAGGCCTCTTAGTGAGAACAGGAAAGGGAGACGGACACCCACGGTGGTGTTGGGGGGTGTAGGATAGCAGTCATTGCGGTGGGGTAATGCGTACTGTCAGGACTGAATAAATCACAGTGCTGACAGTGTTCATGCATTTGACCCCACCTCCAAAGCTTTTCAAATATCGCAGTCGCCTATTACCAAGCAATTGTGTGCAATACGTTTTCAATTTATTTAGGCAAGATTCATCAATCATTGAACCACAAAAATAAATGGATAAAAATGAAAGCCCTGTGTTTTAGTAATTTTTTTTTTTGGGGGGGGGGTGTTGGTGTGGAAATTGGAAACATCCCAGAAATTTAGACAATAAGTAAAACATGTAAGAGAAGGGAAGAATTTGGGGACTTGGGGATTTAGATATAACAGCAAATGGCTTGGATCTAATTAGTACCTGGAGCAGACATCATATTATAATTTGTTTCTTTTGTTTAGACGAGTGTCACAGTAATAAACTCCACTGCTGTGTTTAACTATCAGCACCATTTAAAGTCCCTCTCCAGTCATTTATTAATCCCCTAAAAACTCTGTGTAGCAAAGTTGCATTTTTAAAAGGTTTTTTTCACATAAAAATAATCCCTTTGTGCATTAGGATGGCTTACATGTATCTCTACATTATTCCGTTCTTTAAAATGTGCAGATCTATAAATGCTCCACCCGCGTCTAGCTGCAGCTTAAGCACATCAGCTCACCTATAACACTAGCTCTATGATGCACAAAGGCACATTGTCATATTAGAAAGATTCAGCTGTTTGTGCTTTAACTAGAAGAAAAAAACCTAGAAATCTGAATCCATGTTTTTCATACAACCATTGTAGTCATAAGGTGGAAATGCTCACCCATAGCGTCGGCTGCTGATTTTGCTCATGATATGTCTTCTAGCACAAAAATCACCGTACGGACATGTTGACAAGGTGAAAAGCTTGATATTTATCAGAAGGGCTCTTTAAGACGAAACACCTTTCCGCTGCCTTTCTTCTCTGTAATTGCGTTTTCATTTCATGTCTTCAATTATGTAGTTTTCCTGTTTTTCCTGCGTGTGTCTGGGTTTCGCAGTCTCTTGAGACAAGCGCTGCTGTTACAGAAGCATCTTCAATGTGACAACGCAGGAACAGGAACTGAGTCGTGTGACTGGATGAGTGCAGCGTTGCCTTCATGGAATGGGTCACTAAGCGTATAGTACAACGTGACAGCCAGCCAGGCATATGTCCGTGCCAAAGTAGTGTCTGCAACCGAGACTCATTTACTTCAGCTACTGGATGTGATTGACAGCTGGGCCAAAGGGCCGCTGGCTCCTTCCTGATTTCTTTTCCTCTAGAGGTGTCCTGTGGGACTTGGAATTCATGCCACAGTATATCAGCAGAAGAGCTTATGGCGGTAATGAGGATGAAAAGCAAACCGAACACCGAGCCACTTTATTTCAGTTTATGCTACCCTGAGTTTTACAAACTATCATTTAGCCTGAGATGTAATTAAGTTCGCCGGCTTTTCATTAATTCATCGCGCGCACAAAAATCAGGAACGACACTTAACGGTTAATATTTATTCACGAGCACATCGTTCTTTGACACAAATGGAAACCAAAAAAAAAAAAAACATCTTCACGTTCGGTCTTTAACTTCAATATTTTTTTATTTTAGTCATAATTGTTGTCATACAGAGCACTTTAATATTTAAAACGGGCCTACAGCAAAGACTTTTTCACAAAAACAACATGTCATAAGCTATTAATGCAAAGAGGCCACAACTCATTGCAGGATCCAAATCATGATCTCTATTTTTAAACCATGATTCCGCTGATGGCTTACACGTACAGTCATTCCTGCAGCTACTTAAAGCAGTCTCTTTTTGAACTGATATTTGGGAGAACAGTTGTGACAGAATTAGGAAGTTTTGAAGCTTTAACCTTTTTACCTTAGCAGCAGCTACCTCATACATCTTTTCAAAATGCATGAATGTGGCTTTAACAGGCAAAAGCTTGACAATTCTTGATGCTCTTGTTCCTTTGAACACACAAAATCAAGCACAGATATCCCTGCCATGGATGAATTAAAGTGTTGACAACAGTGGAAAAGAAAAAAAAAATGGAATTCTAATGAACCAAATGCGTGTAGATGAAAGATTAAAAATTGTGGCATACTTCACCCACCATATTTCATGGAGCTGTCATCATTTTAGGCTCTTTTTTTGGTATTATGTGGTGGTCGGCCTCCTTTTTTAGCTACAAGAAAAGCAATGGAGGATTTTCAATACGCCATAACCTTATAACAGGAACATCTCTGTGAAATCTGCTGAGGTGTTTTGAAAAGTTTTTTACCCTTGGTCCTAAATGACACATAGCACCTGTTCCCTTGTCGTTTGGTGAAGCTTCATGAAGCCGTGTTTGATAGTCAATATCCCTCATCACTTGTCCTTTCCAATTTAATTTGCACATGTGGCGGTTCAGCCTCTTTTCAATAAACCAAGGTCTGACCCTGTCGCTGCAACAAAGTACTGCCCCGTCTTTAAACTGCTGTTGCTGTCCAAGGTTTCAGGAAGAAAAAAAAAAAAAGCTAAACGTGCATAAATAAAAATCTGAAAATGTATGTCTGAATACCTCATTGACCGTCATCAAACTTGCATTTGCCTTTATTCAGAAAAATGTTTAAATTAATAACTTACAGCCTTTGATATTGTAAAATGGAAACTGACATTTTGTGAGTTTTAAATAAGTGATGGCGTGGACTTTGGTCCAGATCTTTTGTTGTGTAATAAAGGTTTCCACTCTTCACGAGCTGCTTAACCTTACCGTGGCAGAGATTTTACGCAAGGCTCTTCAGTTTTACACCTCACATGAACATCCAGTGTTATTCCTAACCATGGCATCCATTTTTTTTTTATCATTAGTGAGCCAGCAAATGGGTGCAGTTTATATTCTTGCTATGAAACCTGTGCAGATACTCATATTGAGCCTTTACAGTTTCCCTCTTCTGTAATTTTATCATTTGTATCATTCTGTTTTTGTGGTTATTCAAATTTCTCAGAAGAATTTGAATGGTTTTGAGCTTTTGATTCCCTTTTGAACAATTATCTGCCCAATATTTGCATATTATACTTGATCTTAAGACATTAAAAGACACTGAGCAAAACTCATATTCCCCAGAGGATAACCCTGTTCCATGAGCTTTCTCTCTAAGCTTCAGGTCCACTTGTCCTCCTGCCTCGGCAGCGGCGTTGTGCCAGATTTTGGATTTAGGAAAAGAATGGGCAGCACATTGTGGGATGTAGCCTCCAGGAAGCTGCCAGTAGGGCTTTATAGATTTAGTGTAGTTTGAATTTTAAATGCATGATCTTTCACTCATTGTCTAGGCCTCCCTGGTTGTATTGCTTCCATAGTTTTCTCTGTTTTTAACGTCTCTTGCTTTCCTTTGAGGGTGTATTTCCTACGCACATTGTGCTGCTAATCCTACCTGGATTTACGCGCCGTTCGATTTAACTGCTGAGATCAAAGGGACCACACCTATGCCCGCCGGGGACAACAGTATTATTGAAGACAGATAGATTGCTGAGAGTCCTGGGAGGCCGTCTACTTGATAGAATTGTCTTTGTGCTCTTCAATTAGAAAAAAAAAGGTGGCAGAGTTCAGTCAGCACATGAGAGCTCAGCCTTGGAAAACTTCCTGCTTCAACATAATAGAATAGCGAGATGAAAATTTTAAATAATCACTTGAATCACAACCCCTTGCTTCCTCTTTTTTTTTTTTTTTGTCTCCTAGTGTTACGCGATGACTTCAGGCAGAACCCACAGGATGTGGTGGTGGCGGTCGGGGAGACTGCCAGTTTTGAGTGTCAGCCTCCACGTGGGCACCCTGAACCCAACACCTTCTGGAGGAAAGATAAAACTCGACTTGACCTCAAGGATGACAGGATCACGGTGGGTTAATCCCCCCGAGGGGCGCCTCTCTGCTTTTTACATGACACTTATGCCGACTCTGAATCACGCACTCAACCGCTCGCATCTACCTGAAACTGTCACAAGGTAATGGACTTTGTATCGAACTGGCTGATTCTAATTACAAGCGCCTTTTCTTCCACAGGTTCGTGGGGGGAAGCTGACTATCTCAAACACCAAGAAGACCGATGCAGGGATTTATGTGTGTGTGGCCGCCAACATGGTCGGGGAGAGGGAAAGTGAAAAAGCTCAGCTCTCGGTGTTTGGTAAGAAGTCTGTCAGATTAAAAAAAAAAAAGTAGTAGAGCATCTTTTCTCAGGCATTTGCTGCTCAGTCGTACCTACATGTTTAACCACCCTGTCAAATGTATACTTAGCATCTTTTGTTATGTGCACTACCCAAATCCAGAAAGACCCGTGTTTGTGCAGCGGCCTGTGAACCAGGTGGTCTTAGTAGACGAGAGCGTAGAGTTCAGGTGTCAGGTCCACGGTGACCCGCCGCCTACGCTGCGATGGAAAAAGGAGGACGTGGATATTCCCCGCGGCAGGTGAGGACTGTGAGTGAATGTGTGTAGTGCATATGTCTGCATTTATGTTTGTGTGTGTGTGTGTGTGTGTGTGTGTGTGTGTGTGAATACAGTAAAAACGATAATGGATTAATGCTTAAGCAGAGCTAATGAGTCCCATTAGAACAAGAAAGATTTAACATATTACTCATGGAAGACTTTAATCAGTGTGGCAAAAAAATCATTTATTAGCTGCAGAGAATCTCATTATTTGCTGTTAGAACTACTTTTCTTATAAAAAAAAAAAAACACAGATGGAAGTGTGTCCTTGCTTGCTTTTGGACTTTCAAGTACCGCCGGGCTTCATGTGTGGCACATAAGAACTGACACATAGTAGGATCATATAATAAAAAGCGATTCAATTCATTAGCCCTACTCTGTCTAGTAATTGTTAGAAGTTTACAACGTCCAGTCAGGATGTTGATTTAATCCCGTGGTCATTTCTGAAGCCGGTTTTCAGCGCTCTTGCATCAGATTGCATCATGCTATGAGGTGTTCCTGCGGTTCGGGCCACACGTGCAGCGTACACTCACATATCATAGACGCTGCTTGTATCCTCACTTATTTTTTAAATTCTTTATCAGACTGCTGTGTGGGATTTAGAGTCTTAATAGTTAATGCCCAGTGAATTATACTTTAAACAGAGCGTGTTTCACTTTGCAATCTGGCCATTGGTTAAATTTCATTACTACATTTTAAGCAGTTTTCCAAATTGACGTACACAATCTGGAGACGGTGTGTAATTGATCCCTTTCAATCTGAGGCACCTTCCGATGCTTTTGCAACAGAATTGGATAATTAATTGAATAAACACGCGCCGGCGCCCGTTCTGAACTTATCGACGTGGCAATACCACATACATCATGAAGAATTAACTCTACTAATGGATAAGCGCGATTTCATTACAAATTTTACATGTCTAAATCAAATTTCAGTTCATTTTCATTCAATTTTCAGTTCAATTCGACTCATGTTGTGCCACATCATGTCGTCCCGCTGAGGTCAAGGCCTTCCTAGACGCAGTTCGAAACCCTGTCGAGTAGTTTATTTGTAGCTCTGAACCGCCGCTGATTTAATCACGTGTGGCAGGTATTTTGTAAAACTAATTGTAGAAACAAATGCTAATCACACATCATGTTCTAGGTAATGTTTTCATTTACCTTTGGAATTGCTATCATGTAAGTCAAATGCATCAATTAATTAAATCATTAGGAGTAAATAAGAAGCCTGTCATAGTCAAAACTTACTGAGTCTTCTCACTACACTCAATACTGAAGACTGAAAAATGGCGTCTTTTTCAAACCAGAAACTATTTGCTTCACAAATTTAACACCTGTTTCAAGCCATTACTGCTATTACAAAGCAAAGTGGTGCCTTCTCAGGTGTGCCCCTGAGTTGGAATACATTGTGAGGATGGGCTTTAATAACTGCCTGTCTCCCAGTCTGCCAATCTGTCTGCCTGCCTATGCGGTGCCCTCTACCTCAGAACCCCTTGACTCCAGAAACATGTCCTACTTTCAGGCCTGTCTCGCCTCACTTCCCTCCTTCCACTTCTTTCATTCTTTTCCTAAACCCGTCGGCCTCCTGGGAAGTCTGTATCTGGGTCAGGGATGTGCTGTGAATGGAGTCCTCACCAGACTCTGGACAGAGCCCACAACCCCCCATCGATATTCTGCCCACACCCTTTGGAACATCTATTTCAAAAGTGACTTTTTCTCACCCCTTGTGCCATTTCTCTGCCTGACTTGTCTCCCATCTCTGAATCAGTATGGCTGGCTAGACAATTTCACAGGATCTCTCACGCCAAAGGGACCCTAGAGAGGGAGAGCCCGACTCCTTGCTCCTCTACTCATTCTGTTTGTTGCCCCTCTGAGGCGCTTATCTAAACTCTGGTAGCTGAGATGTTTCTCTCACTCTAACTGCACCACTGTTGCCTTACGGTATGCTGCACTGGTGGAGACACACTGATGCATGGAACATCTCTATGAATTAGTCATTTGGTGCTGCTCGGCTCATTCATCAAATTCAGTTTGTCAGACTGCGCCACTCCCTTACTCTCAGACTGTTTGTCTATCTCTCCCTCTTTCTTTTTCCTCGCCGTCTCCCCCATGCATACACTCACACACACGCACATATAGCTTAGTATACTGCGCAGGCCACACCACAGTGGGTGGCTCGTCTTTATAAATATTGAAATAGTGGAACAGCCAGGGTTCCAGCTGAAAGCACCTTTCATTTTGCCATGCCTTCATCTCAGCATAATTGCTCCTCTTCTTCTGCCACCGTAGCGATCGCTCTACAAAAGTCTGTCTTTATTCTATCAGAAATGACACTACCTTCGTAAAGCTCCCATCTGAAACATCACACACAGATTTACGCAAACCTTGATACAGCCTTAGCGTTTGTTGTTTTTATTTACTTTGTTAAAATGAGCCTTAATTTGCATAGAACTGTCATCCAGCTTTGTGAAATCAATTGGAGACGTTCCTTTTAATTGCCAGGTATGACATCAGATATGAAAAAGAAGACTTCCTCCTGAGGATAAAGAAAGCATCCGTCAGCGATCAGGGGACGTTCGCCTGCCTGGCGGAGAACCGCGTGGGTAAAGCCGAGGCCTCCGCCTACCTGACCATCAGAGGTGGGTAACTGCTTGTGGACTCACTCGTGGCAAAGCTCATAACCCATCTTTGATATTTTTTTTTGTATCTCCCAAAGCAGACCGCAGGACAATCAGTCCTTTATTGCCCACTTTATGAGCGTTATTGCCCCCCTGCTGAAAGGCTGGGCCTGGCCTCAGCTTTTTCTTTCATATAGCGGGGCTGATGTAGTTGATTGCTCCAGATCTCCAGCTAGGCTCCAGATATGAACAATCTAACCAGCTTTAAGTAAACTTTTATGGCCTCTCCTGGGTGGGGGGGCTCATTCTCCATCCACAGCACTCACTCCATATTTACACCATATCAGTCGTAGTAAAGACTGATATGCGGGAAAACATTTATATTGCTGCTGCACGTCAGATTTCTTTTGCTGCCTTTACATTGTCATTTTACGATGAAAATATTGTTCATGCAACTGAAAACGAGTAAGAGCTGACGTGGCGCCAACCGTCCTCGACATCTGAAAGTTCATTCTCATACATACTGTACATCACAGATCTCATAACATTAACATTTCATTCCATATTTATTGCACTTTTAAATAAGGTTTTTATTCTCGTCCCTGTTATTCATGCATATTCATGCACATTTACACCTTGAAAAGCTGACATTACTAGCCTCAGAATTGGTGTTCGCACATATATTGAGTGAAATATTATAAGAAATATAAAACACTCGGCTCACATGACTAATTAAAAGTCTGCTATTAGGTAGTAAACACTTGATGCTTTCATTTTTCCAAGGAAATGATTCAATGATAAAGAAAAAGACCTTGATTAAAAGCCACGTCAGAGGTTATTGCGTTGTGTTGTATGGGATATTTGTGATACATTTTAAATATTTTCACTGATTAGGTTTGTAATTGGGCTGATATTGAGTGAAGATAGGGGCAGCCCAAGCAACACTTAGAATTATAATGGTTATAATTTTCGCTTTAATCAATTTAATTAAATGTGTTCTACGCCTGCCCTTGCCAAAAGTCCGTTTCACTTGCTTGACACAAACAGATCTGTTAACTGTGTGAATGTGTTATTTTATGACATAAGTGAAGTGTTAGAGATAAATCTGTTCGATGGTTTTTGGCATCGGTTTCCCTTCCCCCTAATGTTGCCAAGGTGCCATTTCCTTGAGGCCCATGCCATCACCTGCTCTGGTGACTGAGCATTACCCTCCTTGTCCCTGAACTTCATGGATGGAAACCCAACTCCATCTCATTCATTTCTGATTTTCATTTCTTTCTTTTTTTCTGTCCCTCTGTTCTACTCCTCTGCTGTCCTTCTCTCTGTGTTGTGTGTTAATCTCACCCACACCATTGTTGTGTCACCAGCTCGTCCCGTTGGTAAGTAGGAGCTGATCCCATTGTGCATGCGTTGCTCTCTTTCTGTTTTTTGGTCACACACATGTACAGTATGCATGTACTGTTGTGGCATTCCACAAACACGGTCATCAAACTATTATTGGACATGCATATCCACGTTGTTGCTATCAACTCCTGACTTCTCCCGGCAGTGTTTTGTAGAAACTGTGGTTCACTTCCCTTCAAATCGGGGGTCCAGATGTAGCTGATGTGCCTCGGTTCAAAAACTTGGATTTTAGGGCACTCTAATTAGTCAATATCATTCATTCTGATGTTCTGGCAGCTGGATGAATGGCTTGTGTGACTGGCATAGAAGAGAACTAAATGGATAAGAAAGACCCAATGCATGAACCCCTTTAGCTTGCAGCTAGACATTCAGTCCAAGAGTTTTTTCTAGTAGTCTGTAAAGCACTCTTAGAATTCTGTGCAAATGTGTTGCTATTGTGTTATGGTTTATTTTGCCTTTAAAATCAGAGGCACCTCAGTTTGTGGTGCGACCCCGTGACCAGATTGTGGCTCAAGGACGAACAGCTACCTTTCCCTGTGAGACCAGGGGCAAACCTCAGCCCACTGTCTTCTGGCAACGAGAGGGCAGCCAGGTGAGGATATTGATTTTGACTAAATGCACTTATTCATGTGTGTCTGCAGGGATACATGCATTATTTCTCTTTTTAAGTCCGCGTCGCCATACAGACATAAATTCTGCAACGAGTAATGTATCTAAAATATAAAAAATGGCCAAAGATCTGACTAAAAGGATCAAACCGGGTAACAGCCAAATGTGGTTCTGTTCCACGTACATATAATGAAGTGGTCATTTATCATTAATCTACACCGGTCTGACTGGCCAATTCACTTAGTAAGAGACAATGTCATGTGCTGCATTAGCGTCATTAGACATAATGAAAGCAGGCTAATGTCCTTTCCTGCCCATCAGCTTGTCTGCCTGGAGTGCAGAAAAACGGACAACGCTGATGCCTCAATTTCACGACCATGACTGCAGGTTATCACAGCAAGATTATCACTCTGGTGGTAAACTGCTATTCAGACCTAGTACAAAACGCGACATTGACCCACTTTCCCAACTGAATTGCACATAATTGTTGATACGAGTACATTGAAGGCATGTCTTGGACACAGCGGCGAGTACTTCAAATCTGGTTGTGTCCAAAGATGTAAAGTTATTTTAGAGCAAGCTCCGTCTTTTAATTGTGAAGAAAATGTTTAAATGTTTAATTCAAGAAAGCAATTGTTTCGAACAGTTTAAGTCAGTGTTAGTGACAGAAAGATTTGAGTATCATCTGCATAAAAGGAACATGATGTATGACTGTTAAAGTCACGGGTTACCAAACTTTTTAAACCCCTGACCCCCCCACATGACAGTGGATTAGACTGGCAACCCACACTATACCCACATGTGGTTGACGCCTAATAACTATAATACACTGTTCTCCATAAAGTTGGATTTTTTTTTTTTTTTGGTCCCTTAACAGGAAACACATATTTGAGGGGATTTCATACATAAGAACGTCCAATATTACTCTTTCACTCAGTCACTAATACTGAGTCTAGCCACCCCTGACACAGATCAATGCATTAAGACATCATGGCATACTGTCCACCAGCTTGTTGATGGTGTCAATGGGAAGGACGTCCCACTCTTCAGTCACATCCTGAAGTTAGGATTAATTTCACCAAGTAACTGGGACTCAGTATGAGATCATTGCACCTGGTCAGAAGTGATTACTGATGGAAATAAATAGAAGTAAAAAGAGGAATATGTCTGATAACAGAAATTATTCCAACTTTATGGACAATAATTTACAATAATTTAATATAAACTAGGAGCAGAATACATAAGACAAAATAATTTCCAGGTATAAGATATAGTACCGAGTAAACATACAATATGTAGGAGCAGTTTAAGACTCACACGTGACGTTTCTCTCTCAAACATACGTTTTTTACTCATTTCAACAATAAACTCACTGAATGAGTTGGGTATAAATTGCACTTGGAGCACAGCAAGTCCATTCTATATCCTCCATGTTTAATTTAGATCTGTGTTCACTGATTGATTTATTGATTTCCTCAATTTATTTCTCAGTGTCTTGTGATCAGATCCCCACTTTAGGAGCCACTTGTTTAAGTGACCAAGCGTGAACATGTAGTTTGAGGTCATCACAATTCACCTTTGGGTTACAATGCAGTTGAGTTTAGCAGAGTCTTGTCATAAATATGCAATTTAACCTACTCATGCCTCAAGTATTGAATATTTTTTTACTTATTACATGAAAAATATATGCAATGAATGTCTCTGTAATCGCTGTGAAGCAATGAGGAAGTTTGAGTAGGACACACCGTCTTATAACACCTAAGCTCTAAACAATTCAATGCTGATGTAACATTGTGAACAATATTGTCACAATATGTCACATTTAGATGGAAGATATGCTTTTCATTAGGAAAGAAAAGCTAAAGAAAAGTAAAATATCTTCTTTAAAAGTGGTTGCAGTTTGTACATTTTATACCTCCATGCTACCAAGCAAGTGTGCTCGCCTTTTTTATTCACTCTTTTTCCCTACTTTCACTCCTCTGCAGGATCTTCTGTTCCCCAATCAGCCAACGCAGGGGGACAGCCGTGTGTCTGTGTCTGTGAATGGAGAGCTGACCATCTCATCTGTACAACGCTCAGATGCCGGGTATTATATCTGCCAAGCCCTCACTGTGGCAGGGAGCATCATGGCCAAGGCCCAGCTTGAGGTTGCAGACGGTAAGACGCATACACACCATCCTCACACACAGGGACAGAAAATGGTAACCTGTTCAGTAAAAAGCAGATTTTGTTTTTAATAATGCAGTTTACAACCACTGTGATTGCGTGGTTCAATACACAGGTAATAGCACCAGAATGAAGCCACTACCATCCCATGTTGTAATAGGTGAAAATGGACAAAGCAGTAATCTGTGACAGGACAGACGTACTCGTACATTCATGTTATAAGTTGATTTTTAAGTGTAGATGGTACAGAAGTGAAGCCATCTGTCGAACTCAGTCAACTTCATCCTCATTCAGACTTTAATGGAAACATAAAACCTATTTTACTGAGCTTCTTGAAATTATGCTGTTTTAGCAATGTTGTTCAAACTGTAGCAAAGCACTAACAACATGCATTACAATTTAGGTGCATTGTCCGTCTGGTTTTGATGTCGGTCCATTTTTTTATTGTGATGCACTCTGGGCTTTACAATTATAGAAAACGTGCACACAATCTCGCAGCATTATCTAGACATTGAATACCAGCATATCAAAGACCATTTATCTGCCCACACTTACACTGGCGAAGATGCATCTGTATGTTCTAAAAGCCAGTCGCCCATAATCATCCTTTTCATTTTCACCTCGCTGTGGTAAAGACTGAAAATACCGAAACTGTGTAGAATAAAACTGTCTACTTGATGGAGAGACACTTTGCACTTTTTTGACAAAGCTTTAATGTCAGCATTAAGTGCTCAGCCGCTGCCAGCTGGGAGCTGTTTATGCCCTTCTCTCCATTTGTTTCTTGGCTTTTTCTCCCACACATTATTAAATTAACATCTGTTGAAGTGTTTTTTGGAGAGGAAATGACTCCTGTTCTGTCACTCAGAGGAAGATGGATCAATATCAAAATGTTAGGTGTAGAGCACAAGGAATGGGAGAAATGTCTTTGACTGATGGCCGTAAACAAAAATGGAAAGAGGGCTGGCGTAATGCCTGGTGGAGTTTTGGAAGCGGTGCCCTTTCTAGCATTACTTAAGATCAGTTCGCATCCAACAGGGTCTGCCACTGGATGAAAACTTTGTAAAGGGTCAGTTACAGACTCATGCTCCACCTTTCACATTGCCTTAGCTGTTTGACTGACAGATATAATAATTATCCAGTTGAACTGTTGCAGCTCGGAGTTAAAGTTATTCTTGTGTTGCATTAGCAAGCAAAGGGCAGTTCTCCTGACCAGTGTAAGAAAACGGGTCATGTACTTTAATAGACTCACACCACTCCATACTAAGTTGCAAGCAGTGAAACAGTGACATTTAAGGTGTATTTAAACAGATTGTGTAGCAGTAAAAATACAGTTTAGGATGCTGCAGAAGCAGTTTGAGAATTTTCTAAGGACATGTGAAACCTGCTCAACATTACAGTCCAATGTTACTGCAGTAAACCTAAGCTGACCACAGCTACTGCCCTCCACAGTGGGGTAAGCTACAGATTTTCCAGAGCCATAGCTCACTCCTATAGGGGCTAAGTATTTGATACTAGATAGACTTGGTGTTGCTTGAACCCATCTGACTGATTCTTGGAGACAATAAGGATGCTGCAATGTCTGGACAAAGAGTACAAACCAAGACCTGGACCACAAAAGTTCAATTCAATTCAATTTCAATTCAATTTTATTTGTATAGCGCATATTTACAACAACAAGTCATCTCATAGCGCAAGTTGGATCCGTAACTGCGGGACAAGGATTGGCTTTAAGGCTAAAGTTCCATTTCAACCATGTAGAAATCAATGTTCTAAACATGCACAGTGATCTAATCACTGTTTTAATGATATTCACGTAGTATCAGGTATAAAAATACTCCATCGTTCTTAAAAGCAGCCTCATTTTCTTTTTACCTTTTCCGCTAAAGCTGCAGAGCATGACAACATTTCTTACAGAGCCGCATCTAAATCAGCAACGACAATATGATATTTTTGTTTGCTACCTAATCACTTGGGATAATCATAGCTTGCTGCACGGTAGATGTAATATTTTCCTGAAACTGCCATGCCAGGCGGTCTTTTTTTAGCCGATACGTAGACATAATGTTATGTTCACCTGAAAACAAGTAATAACGTCGGCTCCCCGTGAAAGACTGATTGGTGAAGCATTAATTTCACGTTCATAACACTTCCACCTATCTGCCAAATCCCTACAGGTCCTTGTCAACAACACAATGTAGATGATGTTTATATTGCCGCATAAATCCAAACACTTCAGCCTCTTTAATAAGTGTCATATCATGTGTGGTTTTGCTTACTGTACACCGTGCTGCACCTAGTTGTACCTGATTTTTTTTCCTTGCTATTCTGCTTGAGTTGCCGTATTGCTCATTGTGCTGAAGGAGGTGCGATGGAAGATAAGGCAGAGGTAGTCTGCTGTAAACACTTGTGTGAATGGAGACAGACCTGATAACAGTGGAGAGCAGCAGTGAGGAAATTGGAAGCGAGGGGTAGTTACAAGGCCTAGAGAGATTCAACACTCCAGAAATTACTGTTTCGGAGTGCAGCGGCTGTTTTCTGGATGGTATAACATGTTCTAAAAAGCTTTAAAAGAGATGTATTGTTGTTCTCCTTGGCACGCTAATTCAGAGTTTAGTTTTGTGTGTGTTTGCGCGAAGAGGGGGGGTGGTGGTGGTGTTGGCAAGAGGGAGGAGGTGCAGCCATGAGTCACAGTAGGAAGGGAGAGGACAGGCATGAATGTGTTGAGGGGTGTTATAAAGAAGGTATGGTAATTAGCACCACGGGTGAAGCATCGTTAATCCTCACCTAGTAATTAAAGCTCAAAGGTGTGATGCAGTGCCATGAGCACACCGCCCTGCTGTGGAAAAGGCTCACAACGCACTCACTTCCTCTTACAAAAAAAACCCAACAAAACATCAGATTGAACCCGAGCATCTTGGGCCCGCAACCACTAATGTAATTATTGCAATCACAAATTAACACCTTGTGATAAGGTCATGTGTTTTTTCTTTTTTTTCTTTTTCCACAACTAGTTAGAAAAGAGAGTCACTGTTACATGCCAAGACCGTGACATCAAAATTACAGTGTGAAGAATGTGCTTCGACAAATAACACCTGCTTCTTGATTATTATCCTGATCATAGCCCTGAAGGACCGCCCACCACCTATCATCCGGCAGGGCCCATCGAACCAAACGCAAGCGCTGGGAGGTGTGTCCCTTCTGAGGTGTTTGGCGTCGGGGGACCCAGAGCCCACGGTCACCTGGCGTAAGAATGGGGCCAACCTGCTTGGAAAGGACCCACGATTTTCCCTACTGGAGCATGGCAGCCTTCAGATCCAGAATACCCGGGTGAGTTATGGTGGTGTTCAGAGAAATGCGCACAAATTGGAGTTAGCGATATACTTACAGAACACATTCAAGAACAACCGGTGTTGACCACAGAGGAATTCGATAGCACAGTCGCCTGTCATCAAGTTTTACGCCTTCATAACATGTCCCTATAATGTTTTTATACGCTTGAAGACATATCACGAGCAAAATAAGCAGTCAACGCCATGGTTACGCATTTACACCTCAAAGCTACCGTGTACTGATCACAGCCTCAGATTCAAACTTTCTGTGTTTTTATATGTGACAGAATTAAGGAACCCATCCTGTCAACTTACAGACTCTGGCTTTCTGTATCATTATTCTTCTTAAGAGTCAGTTTTCCGTTCACACGTCTATGGCTGCAGCATTCCAATTTTACACTTTTGCTTTACAAAATAGTCTTACTGTTTCAGCAGTCATAGGTGAGCTGGTGTGCTCAAGTTGCAGTCATCAGAGAAGGTGTGTTGGACAGACAACGTCCTAATCAGAAGTATGCAACAGTGTAGAGTTACGTCTAAGTCATTTTGAGGGAGAGAGATGTTATTTTTTTATAGAAAACACTTCTAAATATGTAACTGTTATACACATAGATTCGTTTTTAGGGGTTGTATCAATGATGGAAAGGGAGCTAATAAGAAAAATGTGGATTAAATACAATTTTAATCTAATTTTCACAGATTTGGTCTTCATTTGCAGTGCATATGAGAACACTGTACTAGCCTATGGACAGTCAACCACACTGAAAACAAGTCTGAAAGCATGTTTTAAACCTGTGTAACACTACAGGTTGCACCTCCTCTGTTCTCCAGAATCATCAGCTGACTTGGTGAAATCATGTTACGACCAATTCAAATTATATAAAGTGGCAATAAACCCCAATTATCTGTTTCATTCTTGCTTAAACTGTGTTATAACAAGTATTCTGCAGAGGAGCAGTATGTCTGACCAAGCATCCCTGTCACCTTGTCATACCTAAAGTGGTGGGCATAATTGCAGCACTCAAGTCTCACTTGCAGTAGTTTTATCAGGTCCAGAGGATTAATTAATAAAAACAAAGGGTTGTTAATTAATCTTTCAGTCAGTGTTTTATCCTCAAATTAAAAGACAGTTGTTATCAACTCAGCTTCGTATCAGTAAAATCTGTCGATTTGTGCTTGCAAATAATCATACTGCACACGTTTTATATTCTACTGACTGAGGGAAATGTTTCCTCATTCGTGAGGATGGAAAGTTCAGTAATATTATAAGTAGAAATAAAGTGCACGTATGTACATAATCAAACAGAAACTCAAACGCACGTCTAGTTTGAGTGTTCTTTGCCATGTGTACATCGCATCCTGCATTGCATGTGAAGGAGTAAAGAGAAATTTGCTCATCTGCCGGATGATGTCAGCTGAATGTAATTCAAATGGACAAGTGCAGTCAGGTTGCTTTTTAAAGATGAATAGCAGGTATTGATTTTTATAAGTCATTAAACGCTGCTATTTAGTCCGAATCTCTGAGGCAGCAGTTAGACTCAAGGACTCGAGGACAGGAACCAGTCAGAAGGAGTCTACAGGGGGTAATATAACGGAGCATCCGCAATATACAGTGTCCTGTCTCAGTGTCAAAGTGCTTTCCCTATGTCACTCTCCCACTTTCTCTTGAGAGACAGTGTAGTTGTCAGTGTCTCCTACAGCAAAGCCAATATAAAACCGGTTGTCATATCTCCTCCTTCCTGTGTCAGCACTGGTGATGATAATGCCGATGACTCTGGGAATGGCGGGTGACCGTTATTGGAGGAAATCAATTAAGAAAATTAATGTAAGCTTTTACTGGGATCTTTTTTTCATTGGCCAGTGTTAAAGTTTCCACTCATCCACTCTCCGGCTCTTCTCGAGCCAAATGCAGGCCAGTGGAGGTTAATGCATTTTTACTGTACTACGAGCTGCAAACCTCCTTCAAAAGCCCAGACTGACGTAAGAGCTTGTAGAAACCATCTGGGATCAGAGTTACAAAGGCTATTGGATTCAGCTGAACACAGCAACAGAGAGCACAGCCTGAAAGCTGTATTATTGGTGATTTGGATAAGCAGAAGAAATCTTTATGGATCGCTTTAATAGACACAGCATCTCCTCACATGTTGTTTCTTTTTTTAGTGCTGAATGTGCTTTTTCTGTTACAACTCTAAAATGGGCCTAATTGCTTAAGTTGTCGTGATGCAGATTGAATGGAAGCTTGTTTGCATGTGAGTTATAATATCATGATGTGTCTTCCTCAGCTGTCTGACTCAGGGTTGTATACCTGCGTTGCTACCAGCTCCAGCGGAGAAACATCGTGGAGTGCCTACTTGGATGTCAGAGGTCTGCTTCAGTAGAAATAATTCATATGAAAAATTAGCATAATTTTATGCATATCAAGCCTAACATTGCTTGATATTCTTTGCTTCTGCGGGTATTAATTTGGTCTCTCTCGCCTCCTCAGACTCCACTGACCTCATCGACTTCATGTCTCACAATGCAACCGCCCTCCCAGGGCCACCCTCCAAACCAGAGGTCACCGATGTTACCAAGAGCAGTATCTCGTTGTCATGGGAACCGGGGCCGGAGGCGGGCTCCCCGGTGTCCTCCTATGTCATCGAGGCTTTCGGGTACGTCTGTGACCTATGGCCTCCAGCAGCATTTAGTGACCCCGAACTTTCATGGCAATAACAGATGTGGGTGTTTCTGTGGGCATTCAAGCAAGTCAGGACAGTTTTGAGCAGAATATTCTGGATGCCTTTTCTCTTACAGATGTATAATTTGCTTAGAAAGAATGAAAAGAATGGTCTGGTATTTAAATTATTTAACAATAATTTCAATCAGAGTTTGATTGACACACGGGATTTGCTTTTATTAGAATTTTTTTCCCCCCTTTGTCTCATAATTGTCGAACTGATTACTCGTTTTGATGATGACAGGAAGAGTTTCAAAAGATTTCACAAGTGATTTTTGGCATGTCATTATTGCATGACATGTCATTTTGGTTCCCACTTTGTAGGAGCACAGCTAAACTGTCTGAGATTCTTTCTACAGTAATAACAAAACAATTGTTTCCTAACTTATTAGGTTTGTTCTCTTTACAGTCAGTCAGTGAGCAACAGCTGGCAGACAGTGGCAGACCATGTGAAGGCGGCAGAGTTCACTGTCAAGGACTTGCGACCCAATACTGTCTACTTGTTCATCATCCGGGCAGTCAATGCTCAAGGGCTCGGGGACCCAAGCCCTATGTCTGAGCCTGTTCGGACTCAAGGTACACATATAGGAAGGAATTGCAACGTGTTATCAGTGGAAGGCACCGCTATTCTCATCTACATGCCTCTATTTCCTCCCCTCTCCCAGACATTAGTCCCACAGCTCAGGGAGTGGACCACCGCCGTGTGCAGAAGGAGCTGGGGGATGTGGTGGTCAACATGCATAATCCTGTAGTTCTTAGCTCCACTTCAGTGCAGGTCACATGGACTGTGAGTACTCGCAACGTTTGGAAAATGTATTTTCTACTAGTTTACAGCAGTTGTGCTTCTGTTGCCTTCAGAGAAGTGAAACAAATCTGGTCTAAGCTTGTTTGAGAACTTTACACCTGGCATGTCACTGTGTTTTGGATTAGTTGGCACCCTCGCAGAGTAAACATGATGGGATGGATACACATTCGTAGTCTGAACAGCTGCTACTGCATCAATTTAGATTGGTTCAGGGTGATGCAGGAATCAAGACTAATGTTTCTATTCAGGACAAATACATCACCATTAGGTGCTACATGTGTCACTTCTGGAAGCAGTTTGCTGCCAGCGCTTTATCTGGGAAATGTTATTTCTGTCTGTTGGCAAGGTGTCCCCACTGCCGGCTGCTGTAGGTTAATAACACACCTAGGATGGGCTTACACTAGTCTGTTATTTCATGCTTGTCAGTATGACAACCATGTGCTGTAATACAGCTTTTAGACTGACACAGTGACAGGATAAACTGCCTTTGTGGTCGATCTGAATGGGTCCACAGACGTTATTTGACCTGGCTCCATTTTGTGGGAAGAACGCTCATTCATAACTCTCGAAAAGTTTCTGTTTTAAAGTGGTTTATGGGCACGGCTAGATTAGGAAGCATTTTTCAAAAGGTCTTTGTTGCCCTGTGTGTGTGTGTCCTGCGGGAACAGTTGCGCAATTGTGCCTTTCCCATTTTAGTTTTTGTATTTCAGTCAGCTTTAATTGGACAATCTGTTACTCAGCTAGATGACATGGCGACATTCGCCTACTTCCTCACTGTTACCCTCATTCCAGACTTCATACCTAACTCACACCTAGCCTGACCTGTGTACTCAATATCTACAGAGTGATTTCTGAGACTACATTCACTAACGGAGAAGGATGAGTTTGCTTTTCTCCTGAGAAATTCCCATAAAGCCACAATACAAATTTATCCCATCTTGTGAAAATGCATCTTTAGAGCTGCTATCTAAGATCTTTATAAAATAACTGGATTCGGTGATGGAAGTACAGGTGTGCAATAACCATAAAGCAGGTCATGAATAATTTTGCAGCTCCTTTCTAAGACAGTAGGAAAGTGAGCACAAAGGACAAGCATTTATTGTGATGCACGCACTCAACCACATAAATTATTTTCAAAGTGTGAAGGGAATAAAAAAAGAAAGACGAGCTTCTTCCACTTTTTATGGGGCTTTTAGATGCACAAATCATTTTGTTCGGGAAATACAGACTGAGGCTGCAGAGCGAGAGTAAGAAAGAACAAAAGAAGAAAAGAGATCCATCCTAACATGTTTGGACTGGTTCGACGATAAACAGCTGCTTCATATCACTTGTAAAAGCTTTTTCTTGCTTCTGCCCCTGTTAACAAGCCATTACTATGAGTTGTATCTGTTACATATTTAACTCTTCTCCTGAACCAGTGAAAATAATAATAATAAAAAAAACAATAGGAAACTGAGTATTTTGATCCAATATTCAGGGCCCAGACTGTGCTGAGTGTCTCTCACTCAGGGGCTCTGTGCAAACTTGGCAAAAACACCCCAACTCCCGTCATGTGGCTTCTTGCAGCTCTGCTGCTAATTAAACTGTCTGACTAACTAAGCATGCATTGTCAGTGACAGAGGGCACAAGCTGAATGCTGATCCAAAGCAGTTTACACACAGATGTATGACACCTCCCACATCATCACCATACGGCATGTCTTATTCCCACTCTCTCCCACTTCTCCTCTCCTCTCAGGTGGAGAATCCATCCCAGTTTATTCAAGGCTACCGCGTTCTGTACCGGCAAACTTCAGGGCTGCCTTCCCCAGGGCCGTGGCAGATACAGGACTTGAAGGTTGCCTCGGAGAGAGACATAACTCTCTCCGGTCTGAAGAAGGGCATCGTCTATGAGATTAAAGTGCGGCCATACTTCAATGAGTTCCAGGGTGCAGACAGCGAATCCATGACCGCCCGCACCATGGAGGAAGGTAAGTGACGAATTAACTCACATTTCTGACAAAAATGTGTTTCTCTGCCGACTTAATGTTGAAGAGAATGTAAGGTATAGCTACTCAGGCATGAGCTCTTGTGTAAATGTTTCTCTCTCTACTTTTATATTTAGCTGCTGCTAGTAATGGCTTCATGGTTAGATAGTAATGGATAATGGCATTTCAAGTACACCCTCCCACACACGCATACTGCTGCAGTGCCATGTCCCCTGCGTGTGAAAACAGGTCTCCCAGACAGCGCAGTGGGGTTCTATGACAACCCCGGACCTCTGTGGGTTGGTGGGCAGAGAGGGAGGCTAGAAAACTGTCTCCTTTGACATAAATGCAACTCTCTCTCTGCTCCTCCATGGACCCCTGCTGCCATGTCTCTGTCCAGAAGTACATGATATGACCCCTCTTCACTAACATCACACACACACCAATGAGCTTCAGGGGTACTTTTAAGCATCCTCTTGCTGTGCAGGTCAATTGATCAGATAGGGGTTGATATAACCTCATGGGAAAAGAGCATCCCCTACAAGGCCAGAAGTTGCCTGAAAATCATTATGTTTTTTAAGTGTTCTTCCATATCCACGTTGCCATGTGTTAGTTCTCTGTACATCCATGAGCTAATAGCCCATAGCTTTAATGATGGCATTCCAGTGAAATGTAATCAAACGTACTGTAGGCGAACAAATGGGGGTCAAGTATGCTAAAAGCCTGCAAACAAACAGAGGAAAAATGCAACATGATCAAAGCTTTTTAAACATTCTCAGCCCGAGCTCTGCTTACAGGCTTTGTCTAAGGTTTTCAGCCACATCACTCGATCCTTTTCAGCAAACAGCTTTTGCTTAAACAGCCACTGACATTGATCTGTTGACATTTTTGCAAACTCTTATAATTTGAGCCATCGCGCACTTAGAACTTAGAAATGAATCATCAAAGTTTACTCTTGACCTTGTCAGTAGCAGCACAGCAACTTCCTTACTAGCTTTTCTAATCAGTCCTTACTAGCTAGTCAAAAGGTACTCCAAGTCCTATGAATAACATCATAACAGCTAATGAGCTCTCAATGCAAAACATCCATCTCCATAACAAGTGAGCGAACTGGATCCACTAATGAAGCCTGAGCCCGATCTCACTCCCAACTCATCACATATGGCTGCTTTGTCAGAACCCCTTGGCATCACAGCTGAATGCACCGGGTATTGTTTAGTGTCATTATTCAAATGTAATTTGATAGACCTATAAAAATCTGTGAATGCCATGTGTCCGTGGCCAAATGCTCTGTGCTGTATCATCCATTTCAGGAAATTATGAGAAGTCTGCTTCGTGTTTAACGTGAAAGGTTGTGTTTTAACCAACACCGTAGTTGTTTCTAAACTTCACTTATGAAAGTCGCAAAGTGAAACTAACTGCAAAAAAATAATGGCCTGACACAGGACGTGACAGCCAGTCTCCTGTGTGAACGTCCTGGGACTTATGCCACCACCGCCCCTCTGAACTCGTTATAAAGTTGTGTTACAACTAGAAAAACTCCTCCATGCCTATTGGTGTCAAATTTGGATGCCTGGGTCACCAACACCAAAGGAAAGCTTGTACATATCTCTGAAACACCAGCAGCCTTGACATAATAGCGGTATTGGACGCCCTGGGAATGACACCTTTTGATAAAGTCAGCTCTTGTCGGTGGCCCTTGAGGTAGGATTTTTCAAACTACTGTTTATATGGTCAAGAATGAACTATCATGATTCATAATTCATGTCTCTGGGGCGACAAGAGCGGCCCTTAATGTCGTTCATTGCATTCTGGTGCTGCATCCGCCGGACTGTATGGAACAATGTTTGCACTGAGAGCAAGTCATGACGAGGCCATTAATGCAAAAGAAAACGTTCAGCCCAAAGCGCCTGTGTTTGATGATGAGAGGATCACAGCGCTGCATCTTCCTCCCAGTAGGAGGATAAGATCGAGGCTAGGAAAAAAAGATGATACAACTGGTGGAGAAAGAGAAACTCACCTCACTGGAGCCCAATTAAAATGGCCACATAGGATCACCAGAGGTTTTTTTTTTTTTTTTTGCAGACTGGGGGAACATGCTCTAGTTACTTTGGGTCTTGGAAACGAGGCATCATGGTACCAAGAAAAAATTGGCTTGATCTACCAATTCTCCAGAGGCTGGAAATGTGCTACTCTGCAGAATTATGAGGACAAAAACACTTGTTATCAATCAAAGGCAGATTGGCAATGTGGCACTGCCTTTGTGAAACCCCACCAGAGGGTGTCTTCGGGGTTACAGATGTCAAAGCATCTAATGTCTTGTCCTGGATAAAGGAATGAATGTATTTCAGGACTAATGATCCCTACAACCCTTAAGAAAGTTGTTGCTCAGAGGCAGTTGGTGGCGTCACTCTTATCTACAGGCTCATCAGACTTCCCACCACTGCTGATGACGAGGAAATTATACGGCGTGCGTCAATCTCATAGCGTTAAGGTCAGAATATACTGACATGACGATGTGAGACCAGAGCTGGAGGGTCCATCCTGTATGGAACAGAGCTCCCTGAACCTACACATGTGTTATTTGGGGACAGTTATGTTGACATAGCAATGTTTGCTAATTCATGAATTAGCGTAATTTATGCATCCATTTGCATAACAGGTTATGTTTACTACTTCATATCCTGTATAGCAGAACATTAAGCAGCTTAAGTGCCTTTTGTTTAATTGCACAGCTGTGAGTAAAAACAACAATGTTTTCTCAGACACTGCAAACATTAATTGCTTGAAATTACTCTCCAGCCACATTGCTCATCAGTCTTAATACCAGTATTCGTCACATTAATAAGTGCATACTCTTTGACCTTTTCCGTTGTTTGGACCATTTATAGTGATGCTATCCTGAGTCATTACTGGTATTGTAGCAATTATTCATCCTCTGGGATTGTTCTCGTACTCACGGAAATTGCAGAACTACACTTAATGGTTCCCGTCTTCTCCTAATGTAAACCTTTGGCTGACTGGGAAAGCTCCATCTGTTTGCTGAAGCAGCACCACTGAAATAACATCTGGAAAACTGGAAGTTGCTTGCATGATGGTGCACTCGCATTAGCCAAATAGAAGTGGAGATTTCATAGATTTGAGTTGCTATTGTTATCACTGCCCCCCCCCTGTTGTTTTATTGTTTCCAGTCTATTAGTCTATGTTTACTTCTGTCTTGTGTAAAGTGTTTGAAGCAGTATTCAGGAAATAACACAGTAGTTTCATATCCAGAGTGACAGAAGGAGCTAAAGAACATTCCTTTTCCTGCAAATGAAGTCTAACCAGAAACTAATATGAGATTTTAACAACCAGTAGTAGGTTTTAATTTATTTTAAAAACTGGTAACCAGCTAGAAAAATCAAATTTTCTATGCACAAGTCAAACATCTGGATCGTGCAGCTATTCTACCAAACAGCTTTGAATTCTTCCTTTTATTCAGAAAATCTAATCCTGAAGGAAAATAAACAAAACAGATGAACAAACCATTCCTGGCTGACATTTCATAAATTCAAAAATGCTAAAGCAGCGGTGGAGGTATGCTTTTATTTGTGTGTTTGTTTTTCCCCTCGGCAGATTTACGATTATGACTTGATTTTGTGAAAGTTGGTCTAAACAAATGATAGACTGCTTCAGACAGTATGAGCCAGAGATCCACGCGGAGAGAGCCTTGTTTGTTTTAAATGTTGATTGGCAGTCCCGATGATTTGTAAAGGTTGACGTCCTTCCGCTGCAGCCTACCTGCAGTTAGTGCTTATAGTACGAAAGGAGGTATGATTATTTATGTGCGCGCTAGAAGGTAATACCCTCGTCTCACAGGTGTAATATAATAAATGGGGTTTTATATTTGACTGGCCTGTCATTAAATAAGTTTTTCTGAACAGCAGTGTCGTCTCAATATTAGAACAGTACATCTGTGCGAGTCCGTTTAACAGTAATTGCTTCTGAAAGTCAATACCGTCTAAATGGCTGAATATAGATATCCTCAAACTGGGTTGAGTTAATTTGTTAAATGTAATAAAAATAAACTGCATCTCATATGGCAGATTTAATTCCTTTGCTCTGCCAGGCTGTCAAATATTTTGCAGACATGCCATATCTGGTTAGAGCCTCTCTTTTAAGTGCGAGCTAAATCATTCAGGGAGATTTGCTTCATCTATCCGACTATTAAAAGAAAATATTGTTTTGCCGTCTTTCGCTGTGCCAGTTAATTGAAGCAGATGTTGAGGTTCCCAGATGTCAGAGGACTGGCAGGGGTCAGCGTCAGGACTGCCACAGATAGAGTATAGCATCCTTTCATTGGAGCATACGTGGCTTTCTGTTGCTTCGATAAGAGACTCTGCACGTGTTTGCGCTACTCGCTGGCCATTTACAGAACCGAGCCCATCTGGAGAATTTAACTCACACTACCCATGTTGCTCTCTGGCCAAGACAATGGCCCACCTGTTTTGGCTTCTCCACACAGCTTTGGAATTCATTGCCTTGCTTATAGGGATGCGCCGCAGTTAGCATTATTATTTTGCAGTCCCTTAATTGGGTTCCGAGTAGTTATTTCATCCACTCTGTCAGAACGTAATGATAGTTTTAATGAGAATCATGAGAAACTATGTGCCCAGAGCTCATCTATTCAGTGAGAGATGATGATTTGCTCAGTTGCATAGACACCGTGTTTGCCTCCTGCTGCCTGCAGTCACTTTAAATCTTTGATCTGTCCATGCAGGTTATCAGGCTAGTTTGGTAAATTTAAAAAATGACCTTTTAAAGAGGGAGTCTGAATTTGGCACCCTGAGGCTCCACATTTGTGGTGACAAACCATCTCAAAACCCCCATTATAGGACACAGTGATTGACCATTTTCATTCCAGTATGATATGCAAAAGTGAGTACAGCTACTTCGGAAGCATTTCCGTGCAGTCGGAATAGTGGTTATCCGTGATGGAAGTGATGTGCGCTACTGGGCTCGGCCATTTTTTTATTTTTTATTTTTTTGTCTTGGCGCAGGAACATCAAGTCATATCTAAACTTGATGATCTCCTTGGAATGGTTGTCATTTGTGCAATGGGAAAAGCAAAATTTGGACCTGAAATGCTTCATGTTTATAACTTAGGATGCCAGTAAGATATTGGAATCTTAAACTCAGACTAAAGGAGTTTTTTTTCTTGGTCCCTGTGCATCCCAGTTATGCAAAAAAAGAATCCCACTATTGAGATAAAAAATGAGATGAAGTGCTCTAGTAGCCATCTGCCAGGCTGGCTTAGAAAATACCTTGATGTATGATCTGCTTTATGAATATGAATCGAGGTAGAGAGTGAGACAAATCCTTCTTTGACTCGATAAAATAAACATGAGACACTCCCTTTTCTATTATAAGCAATATGCTAAGTCATTTAATTCTTTTTTTCCCCCCTGTCTTATGTATAACCTTTGTTTCTTTAATCCTTTTACCCAACTTGACCCCTCAGCACCCAGCGCGCCTCCAGAGCAAGTGACAGTGTTGACAGTGGGAAGCCATAACAGCACATCCATCAGCGTGTCGTGGGACCCTCCTCCCTCCGACCAGCAGAATGGCATCATCCAGGAGTACAAGGTAGGCACAGCCTCCTCATACGCTGAATATTTTAGTCATGTGCTTTACAACCTTACAATGAAATCTGTCTGGTGTGTCTGTCTTTCTCAGATTTGGTGTTTGGCCAACGAAACCCGCTTTCATGTCAATAAGTCTGTAGACGCGACCATCCGTTCAGTGGTGGTCGGGGGTCTGCAGACCGGAGTGCAGTACCGTGTGGAGGTGGCGGCAGGCACCAGCGCAGGGGTGGGGGTCAAGAGCAAACCCCAGCTCATCATCCTGGGTAATCCACTCACACATGCCGAACCTGGAGTCAAATGAAATGACCTCATAATGGGGGGCCTAGGCCTCTTTCACAGACTGGGGGTCTGGAAAAATGATTTATCAATTTATCGCACTTGAAGAAAGAAGATTGCGCTTTACAACGCAGACGTCTACAGAGAAATCAATAGTGCTTCATTAAGTGTAGTGTCTGGTAACACTGTGCCAAGTACTGTTAGCCATATCAATAATCCTCTTCAATATGTGGGCAGCTGGCGCTAACAAAGTAGACAGTGTTTTTGTAGGAGCTTATCAGCCTATCACATCTTATGAAATAGCTAAAGGATGCTCAGAGTATATAAGCCCAGAATCAATATGGGGGCCCAGGCCAGATGCTCTTCATCTGTGACTTTTGACTGATATATAATAACACCCATAACACCCAAAGAAAGGGGAAACAGGCCTGTGGACTGAAGCTTAATGATGGGGGGTGGGATGGTGGGGGGGGTGGTTCCTGCTGGAGACTCTGAATCTAATTTCACAGCACAGTAGCCGCAACAGAAAATCAAACTCTGTCAGAGCTGCTCTGTCAATCTCGTGTCTTGCAGCTCAAGTTGATAAGTGCACTGCTGAATTGATTAACTCTATATTGGATGCACTGATGCTGTTTTTTTTTTTTTTCTTTTTTTTTTAGAACCGTGTGTTGTTTGTTTTTTTTCCATTTATTCATGGTTTCATCTTTTGGCTGTCCCTCTAGTCCATGTGTCCCAATGTTTGATATACAGGATGTTCCCTGATTTTATTTTGAAGTGAAGGTTTTCACCTGACTCAGTCTTTTAATGTTTTGTTTTGTTTTGTTTTTTTTTTATGTTGTTTTCATTCATTTTCGGTTTTATATATTTTGTACATTTTTATTTTTTTTGTGGTTGCATTCGAGAACCTCTCGCTCTTTATCAAGGATCACAATGAGGACTTTTTTATTTTTAATCTCAAATTCATGCTCTTTCATGCACAACAGTAATTGAAATACAATCATTTGTTCATTCACATGGCAATGAAATATTTCATTTATTTCTTCCCTATATATGTGTGTGTGTGTGTGTTTATGTGCGGTGCCCCCAGGTGCAGAACTGAGGGACGTGATGACAGGATCGGAGGGCAACAATAGCATCTCCGACGTGGTGAAGCAGCCGGCCTTCATCGCTGGCTTGGGAGGGGCCTGCTGGATCGTCCTCATGGGCTTCAGCGCCTGGTTGTACTGGAGGAGGAAAAAGAGGAAGGGACTTAGCAACTACGCAGGTAAAAAAAAACTCCACGATTTCCGCAGGATCTCAAAGTGCAGTAGGTCTCTCTCTAGTGGAAGCTGATGTCATCACAGATGTGACTCCATTTGAGCTGGCTAACATGCAGAACAAAGGAAATATATTCAGCACAGATGGAAATAGGCCCTATTTACTTTAATTCACTGTGCACTGATGTGCATCAACTGTGCTGAGTTCCATCAGCACCACACCTCAACACTCTAATACGTTCATGCGAGATAAGTAATTTAACATCCCCTTCCATTATCAGACCATGGCTGGTGTTGTTTGCACATTAACATGAGGTACGTCTAGGTTTAGGTATGGAATATTCTTTTATCCCGCTGTGAGTCAAGCATATAGCTGTGTGCAATTATCATAATGTGCATTGCAGCTTTCATTGTAGTGACGAGGGGAGAGAGCACTGTGATTTCCTAATTCAATAGGGATTTGTGTGATTGAGTGCTGCTTTTCTGATCCCTTCTGTCAAAACAAGCTGAGTTTTATTCCAAAACACCACAATCCTGCTTTGGAAATATACTTTTTTTTTATATAGCTACACATATAGGAACCATTAATGACTTCTTTCTACATTTTAAATAGTTTTCCAGTAACTTCAGTATAAATGATGAATAGTAGATACTTAATTGCAGCCTGTTTGATTTTTTTGGTAATGTTTTGAGGTGTCACATTTTTCAGATGATATCATTTTGCTGTTATTACAAACTAGGAGTATTTTGTTTTGCAAAAAAAAGAAGATGACTTGACCAATTATTTGAAAAGATTTAATCATCCTACGATAATTGGGGTGATTTTTTTAGGGGGGAAAAATTAAAGAAGCTGTTTGGAAGCTTTTCTCATCTCATAACAGCGGTACATCCGAAAGGAAAGGCTTTTAGATCCGACACATTAGACATACAGAGTTTGCGGTGCTGATTTACTAACAGATTAAATGCATTGCCTCGTGTGGTTGCAGCCACTCTAAGGCGCTGCAGAGAGAATATGTGATTTTGGTCAATATCATCCTATTTGTAGCCAAAATATCTTGCTGTGCACACATGGAGCCTGCATGTCAACAAACTCTGTCTGGTAAAAAAAAACATCCAGCATATCCAAGAACCCTTAAATCACAGTAAATTATGTTATCAGACAGACTTCTCTTGCAAATTAGTCACGGAAAATGAGAATCTTGCAAGTTGTCTGTGTATATCCAGCAAAAGGAAAATGGCTGTAGCACGATGTGTGATTGTGCACATTGTGATGAAACAATAGTTCAAACCCTGTGCCCCCCAAAAATGCATTTTGAATAAATTACATGAATACATACAGTTGTGATGAGGACACAGATGTTTTAGGGCAAGAAAGGGTTAAAAACATCCACCTTCATTTGACCCTAACCCCTCAGGGCGATCAGTCTAATTCAAAAAATGCCACAATGCAGCGGTTAGATGCATAACTGCCCCGACAAGGAAAAATGAAAGGGCTTAATCCACATTTCTATACCCCGTTTTTTCTTTTTTGTGCATTAGAATGTGGCTTCAACTTTGTGATTCATGACCCTTTTTTTTACACCGTTACTCACCCTCTGTCTGTCTTTCTGAATTGCAGTTCAGTCCTTCACCTTTACTCGAGCAGGTATGTCTTTTACATTGTGCCCTTATTTATGAAAATATCACAGTGATTCAGCTTGCTTGCATTCTTGACAGCAGTTTAATTCTTTCTCTTTCTCCCCTCAGTTACATTCCAAAGAGACAGAGGCCTGATCAGAAATGGAAGGTGAGAGTTTAAACCCTACAGCAGTCGGTTGGGCGCCCGCTCTCCCTCCTCAATGACACGAACCCATTGTGAAGCCTGTAATGAAGAGTTCTTGCGTGATGAATGGAATTTGCCTACATGTTCCAATATTTCCCCCTTGCTTACTCATACAGTGCGAGAGGATGATTTGCGCCCGTGTCTACCTCGCGAAATCATTAATCACTCCTTTGAAGTCGGCGCTACCAATTAATGCAGGTGGGCAGCTGCTGCATTCACTGGCTCTCTCTCCCGGTTCATCTCAGTGGCTGGCAGAGTGAGAGGTCACGGGAGAAGGGGAGAGGTGATGAATGTGCTGTTTGAAACGCTTGGCGTAGAGCGCGCAGTCATGGGTCATATGTGGTGGATGGAAGAACAAAGTGTTGGACCTCCAGACTCCGCTCAGTGGGCCAAGAGAATGCGCCCTGCCTGCTCAGAATGCCCGGGATGAAGCCTACACCTTTTGTGCCCGCTGAATATCAAAGTGTTAGCTGAAACAACAAGAGAGAAAGAGGTGAATTTGCTTTGCAAGAAAGTGGATTTCCTCTTCTTCTTTTTTTTCCTTATTCCTCCGCGTTCCCTCCTTCCTTTTTGTCACACCTAAGTGAGCAGATAAGCCCACAGCCAGAACAAATGTTGCAAGTAATAGACTAAAAATAAACAGTTTCTTGACAAACCCTTTTTTTGCATTGAACGTGCGCACGTGTTACTGTGTCTGGTGTTTGCGTGTTTCTGTTAGTTATTTATTTTTTATCCCCGAGAAAATGTATGCAAATATATGTATAAGCTTGTGTAGTTTAAAATGGAAATTATTGACGTAATTGTTTGAACACCTTTGAGCCATCACCAAGTCAGCTGTGAACAATTCCCTTGGCATTTGGCAAATCAGCCTCAGTGAAAAAATTCCCTGTGTAGTTGCACATTAAGTCAACATATGCGAACAGAATATGTTTACTTAATGTGCAGGCATGTGGATGTTTTGCCATTTGCACCGCAGCTGATATGAAGAGGTTGTAAATTGTCTTTTTTTTTTTCTCTCTCTCTCTCTCTCTCCTCTGACTGAATTGCTGCCCACAACTTTCCTACCTTGAAGTCAAAGCCTGTATTCATGACCGTTGTATTTCACAAAGACAAAATGACATGGTAGCTTTCCTAAACCACCTAATGGGCTTTTGCTGTCTCTGTTGCCATGGAGACGGTGCACCAGTGTAGCCGATCTGCCAGGGGCTGTCCATGATTCTCAATTTAAAATGTAAATTTCTGTTGTGCGAAGGCTCTAAAGTGGATTTAGTGTGTATTTAGGCCTGCCTTGTTTCTCCGGGGGGAGTTCGGGGTGGTAGAGTTAAGGGGAGGCAGAAGTCTGATTTATAGACTTGCCATTTTATGTCTCTCTGTTGTTTATTGTTGCCCGTGTGCTGGGCTGCTCCACAGGCGAGAATATGCTGAATGAGTTTTCACATCAATTTGTTGTTGATGCAGCAGGAAGAAAATGAGCAATACCGTTACCGGCTAGGCTGAATATTTAACAATGTCACCGGTTCTCTGTCTCCACCACCCTCTAACCCCCTCTCTTCCTCTACCCCTTTCAAACATCCTCCCGCAGCCGTCCGGGGCTGTTAAAGGCGGGCGATCCGGGCCTCCCCTGGTTGGCTGACTCCTGGCCTTCCACAAGCCTCCCAGCGAACGGCGGTTTAGGCAGTCCGAAGGGCGGAAGCAACTTTGGCCGAGGAGGTAAGAAACATAAACAAGCCGTGGCGGTGAAGGGCACGGTTTCAGCGATGCCCAGTTGGACAGTTTTGACGTTCATCCTTTGGGAAGCCCACTGACAGGACATCACACATAAGCACACACACACGAAATAGGCACACAAATTAAAAGAGCCTTTGAGGGCTATATTTTACTAATTTGATTTGACAAGCTTGATATTTGGCTTAAATTCTTAGCGTTTGGATACACTCTGCCTGTCTTTCTTTGTCAAGCCCTGCCATTGTGCCTTTTTTTTTTTTGATGTTTAAGATTAACAGTCCGAGTGTATGGGCTTTGCATTGTTCCCGAGTCCAGAGGAACCCTGGCGAGCTGCAGGCTTTATGTGTAGACAGTGGAGCTGAAGGTTAGCGCCGTATGAGTATCCCTCTTGTGAACACTCCACCCCAGCTCCCACAGAGTGCTGCATGCTAATTACGGTTGTTGATAATCACTTTCATTTATATCAAGTCCATTTGAGACCTGTATTTAACTAATAGAGAGTGCCAGAGCAGCAGGGAGTGTTAATGACCTTAAAGATCGTTAACTTCATGTCAACTTATCTCTCCACGATGCCTTTTTTTTTTCTTCCATTTCCCCTCCTCGCTCCGTCTTCATCCCCCCTCTTTGTCTCAGATGTTTTACCGTCTGCAGCGGTGGAGAAAACGGGCACCATGCTGTCTGATGGTGCCATCTACAGCAGTATTGACTTCATGGGGAAGGCAGGCTACAGCAGCCCAGCGCGAGGCAGTCAGCCCACCCCCTATGCCACCACTCAGATACTCCAATCCAACAGCTTCCACGAGCTGGCTGTGGATAGGCCAGATCCCCGCTGGAAGGCTTCTCTCCAAGCCCAGCAGGAAATAGCAAACCTGGGCTACTCGCTAACTGACAGACGCCCTGGCAGTGGTAAGAGCCATGATGAAAGAAGCAAGATCTCAATTTATTTTTTTTTTCGCTCTCTCTCTTGTGGTGTGCTGTTTGCACTCTTGTCAATGTGTCTTTGGTCTCTGTGGACTGTAGCGGTGAAATAAAATCACAGGCAGTAGTGTTTTTCTTTTTTTTTTTCTCTGTGAAATTAGAACATGCTAAACCAGGGAAAGAGCAAAACGGGAAAGGAGGGGATTTATTTACATATTCGCTAAAAAATTGACCCTTAGGATAATGTTCTTAATTACTCTTCTGTCTTCATCACAATTCTACCCTGGGAGCTTATCTAGCCCAGAAATGTCACACAATCATGATGCATTTCTTTGGGTTAATTTGATTAGTGATGGCAGAAAATCCCCCCGTGTTCTGAGTTTGTTTATTCCGCTTATATACGTTTAGTGAAGTTGCGGAGGCATTTCTGTCTGTACTTTTGTAGTTTTGCACAATGGGCTGTGTGCTCAGCTAAATGTCAGGCTTACCGGAGATAAAGCAGAGCAAGTAGGGAAGCTGTATGGAAAGCAACTTAAAGTGGTTTGCCGCAGGTTTTGATGCCTCTTTAAGAAATGTCAACATTTAGAAAATGTTCTAATGTGCTGTCAGCACACAAAAAAGGGAAATAATGAACATTGGTGGGGGGGAAGGGAGACAGGTTTGAAAATGTTCAGATAGCAGGGAATGATAGAAGATAGCTTTCAAAGCAGTGCTGTGTGAATTCGGTGTAGAATAGCGTTGTGTGTGTGTGTAGGGATACGGGGGATGTCTGGATTTCTGCGGTGAAGGCTTAACATCCTTCCCTCTTTACCTGCCCCCCAGGTGCAAAGGTTGGGAAGAAAAAGAAGGTGAAGGGTGGAACAAAAACCTCTAAATCAAATGGGACATGTTGGGCTAACGTGCCCCTGCCTCCACCACCCATGCACCCTCTCCCTGGTACCGAGGTTGACCTTGACCGCTACCCCCAGGAAAACCACGGAGGAGGGTAAGATACATTCATATCTCATCAATCTCTGCCCTGGAACACACAAACACAGCAAATACATATCCGCAGAAGAAACACAGAGGCCGCAACGCACTGCACCTGTGCCCAGTCAGTGGATATATGGGTGTATCAGAGAGCTCAGACAAAAGCTGCACATGTAGTTTGCCTTAATAATAACATTTAGAGCATTAGATTTAGGTCAGCTAAAACACAACTAGAGAAATAATGTAATAAGATGCTTACTTCTGTCTTCTCTCAGATATGACAGCAACAGTTGGGCCCCGCCCATGTCCGTCCAGACCTACCGCCACCAGAATTTGGACAACGAAGTGGAGGAGGAGAGAGGTCCCACTCCGCCCCTGAGAGGAAGATCCTCCTCGCCGGCAGCAGCTCCCTTCAGCCAGCCCTCATCCTCCGCTCTCAGCACTGCCCACCATGAAGAAATGCAATCCATCTTGCAGGCCCACCTGGATGAGCTGACCAGAGCGTACCAGTACGAGGTGGCGAAGCAAGCGTGGTGAGAATCCTTTACGAACTCAGGGCGACTCCATTTGAAGATCGCCTTTATATATATTTTCTAGCAGGAAAAAAAAAAAGACTTGTGTTGAAATCTTTTGAAAGCCCGTCTGTAGGCGTTATAATTACATTCGAATGTGTTTGCTTTGCACAATTCAAGAGATACCTGTAATTTTATTCATTTCCTACTGTTGATAGTTTGAGTTTTGCATATCAATGGCCAATGTTTGAGCATCTTATAATGCTGGTATTTACATATGTCAGCCCAAAGCTGCGGTCCATGCGCCTCGCGGGCGATAAAAAAACATCTCTCCATTGATTACACCTTTGATGGAGCATTGGAAAACTTGACAAGTCAGTGGCGACATGTGTTGGAGGGTAATGACTGGGTTTAGTCTTACATGCTGTCCTGACATCAGTAAATAGAGTTGGTAATTATGCATGCATCTCCTCTATGGTGGGATGTGAGCCATCATGGAGGACAGCTGTGCGGGAGATAACAGGCATGTTGGTGACAGCCCTGCCCATCCAGATATCCTTTATCCAGTCCAATTACAACTCCATTGTGTTAGCACAACACACACCAGCACTGAGAAAGTAATCAGTGAAATCACTGCAGGCATTCACAGTCTCTGTGCATTGCATCTCTACTTTTCTGAATATCCACTGATTTTACATTTTAATACTTGTTTTGCAGTATTTTCCCTGCTCACTATCTGACCTCAAACACAGTTAATTTGTTTATTAATGCATCATGTTTCCCCCCCACACACATTTAATTAGGCATATGAAGAGCAGCCCAAATGTGTCCAACAGCCCGATGGAATTCATGTCCAGCACGCTGGGCTCCGATCTGGGAGCCACTCTCCTTTCTGAGGAAGACGAGGAGGAGGAGGATGAAAGATACGCTGTGGTGTCGAAAAATTTGTGTGGCTTTGAATACACCCCTGGTCACAGCGTGGACAACCTTGAGGGCTCAGGTAGGTTTTTTTTAAATTGCTTGAAGCCATTGCTTTTAAATGATTAAAACACGCTCACAACTGTCGTGTAGATCACAACATCATTTTTGATCCAAATACTCCTAAACACATGAGAAATATGGCCAGTGTAGTGGCTATATGAGTATGCTATAGGTGACAGGGAAAAGTATAACAGATGTGGACATGGATAAATAGACTTTAGATTTTCTAAACATATGCCAATATTAATTTTAACATGTCTATTGGGAATGTGGGGCTGCAGGGTGGCGCAGTTGGTAGCTGCTGTTGCCTCGCAGCAAGAAGGTTGCCAGTTCGCATCCCGGTGGAGGCACCGGAATCTTTCTGCGTGGAGTTTGCATGTTCTCCCCGTGCAGCGTGGGTTCTCTCCGGCTTCCTCCCACACAGTCCAAAAACATGTTGAGGTTAATTGGTGATTCTAAATTGTCTGTAGGTGTGAATGTGAGTGTGCTTGGTTGTCTGTCTCTAAGTGTAGCCCTGTGATAGACTGGTGACCTGTCCAGGGTGTCCCCTGTCTTCACCCTAATTGGATAGACTCCAGCCCCCATGACCCTGGTGAGGATTAAGCGGTGTATAGATAATGGATGGATATTGGGAATGTGCAAAAAACTGAAGTATGACAGTGTTTTATATATATTACATGATTTTTAATTCATAGGCACTATTAGATTTTATTTTTCTTTTATTGAACAAACACAACATTTAAGAAAATGAATGCAGTGATTAATTTGATCAGTTCATAACCTATGTGAAATAAGCAAGTTTAGAGGTACTTATTACTCCTCCGCAGCTAAGGTGGATTGTTTTTTTGTCATCTTCACTAACAAATTAAGGCAGTGCATCCGAAATGCAGTACGTACAGACACACGTTTTAACATATAACAGAAACAAATCAGAAATTTTGCATATTGGGATGCAACATTTTGTGTACTCACCATATAAAAGGGGAGAGAATTCTGCTTCTTCCCCTTATACATGTGGCTTAAGAGGCAGCAGCCACTCAACCCACTGCTGATAGGACCTGCATTCATATTGGACAATTTTGCAGTACACAAAAAACGTTTAGTGCCCCAGCAAGAAAAAATGTTTTCTTTATGTTGCAAAGAAAAAGTAATTTTGTGGCGGTTAAAAGGTGATGCACGCATGTTTTTTCCTGTTACCGGTTTTAACCACTTTCTTTCACTAAATAAGCATTTTTAGTTACAGAAGGTAATAAAATAAATAAATAAAATAGCACAAACGTGGCATTCAGTGTTCAAAAAAAACATCATCTTTTTAACTAATCCGAGGTTCAGCACACTTGTCCAATATCAACATGATGTCTGCCAATAGGGTTTGGACTCACTGGGGGAGAAAACACAGTGCAGTCTTTTGGCCGGCTCAACTATCACCTATGGACACGCTACATAGAACAAAGACCAAGGCACACAATAGACCATTTAATCACATGCATGCAAGCTCCCCCAAAGCACACACTAGTCTAGATTTTTTTTTTAGGACACTACGTAGCGTATCAGAAACGCGTTTATGAAGTCAGCGGGGACAGCGCTCGACACTCAAAAGTGATGCGGGAACTATAATCGGTCAACAGTATGCTCATAATTATTCAGGTATTCTAGACCAAATCACGAGCGTCCTTTTATATCTGTACGTTTGTCAAAGAGACATTCAGACAGTCTGCTAAAAGTTACTTGAAGTCACTCTTGGATAGACGTCGAAGCCATATCATAATATTTTTTTTTACTGCTTTAGTAGTAACACATCTAACATTTAAGGTTTGATGCATTTATAAATAGGTTTTCAGTCTAAAAGTGTTTCTTTAGAGAGAAACTTGATGGCCTCTCCCAGTGGGACGCAACTGTACCATTTTTAGACTCCATTGTTTGATAGGTTAACACTGACTTGTGCATTGAGAATATGAATTGTTTTAAACACTTTTAATAACCCATCGCAGGGCGCGCTACAGGTCAGCGCGGAAAAAAACATTGACTAATATTAGCAATGCAAACATGCTATCAACTCATATTTAGCTGTCACATACTGGAAGCCATTATTTTAGAAGCGCGTTCAGGAACTCTTGAGGGAACGTTTTCAGTCGAGTAATTCCAAACATGAAGAGAAGTCTTTGTGGTGGCAGTATTTCCACAGAGGGTGCTATTTTGCAGTTGTGGAGTATTGCCTTAAATGGCATATTTTTTAAATACATATTCTTTCTCAGTATTTTTTTCCTCTTATGTTGCTCAAACAAAGATTTAAAAAAAATGTCTCTAGAGGATTTCAAAATAAAACACTCAGTAATCAAAGTCTGTAGTGTTGTTGGAGTTATTCTACAAATATGTGTGCATCAGTTTTCTAGATAGATAGATAGATAGATAGATAGATAGATAGATAGATAGATAGATAGATAGATAGATAGATAGATAGATAGATAGATAGATAGATAGAT